TGTTATCGGCAAGGCGAGCAACATGCCATTCCTATCGGATTTTACTTTCTCGAGTGGTCACAATAATATTTTTTGCATTTAATAAAATTTTCAGGTTGCCCTGTGATTCCACTTACAAGTAATTTAGTGAGCTGTCGTTCCACTCGTATTATTAGCTTGTTGTGGGAGCTTATCGTTAACATTTTGCAGGCATCAAAAACAATTGAAATGCCAGTTGGTCTCAAAAATTTGGGTAACACATGCTACATGAATGCCACGTTGCAATGCTTAAAAGTAAGAATTTTTCTAATTTTTTTTAACAAAAGTCGGAGAAATACTGTTTAATTTTTTCCTCTTCAACTGCTTTTGGGTGTTAATCTTCCAGGTTTTTGGATTTTTCGGCTGTGGTGCTTTTTTTTCTGAACCTTATTCGAATTCGTAGCCTGCCATAAACATTTTTGGATCTTATTTTTGGTCCCATTCATACTGCCCTGTTTGTACTTCTCAAACAGTCTGTACAATGCATTGATTTATCTATGGTAAATTGGTACTGTCAAATGTCAGAAACCTTTCAACGTCTTGCTTTCCAGTTCTCAGACACGGAGGCCATCGGGAGCCTTATCCGTGTATGGCTGGCAGAATGCTGTTCAAGCTATACAGGAATTTCCTGGTTTCGTCCTTAATAAAATTTGGAGGAAATTTTGGTTTAATTCCCGAATTTATGGGAAATATTTAAGCTTTTTGTTAAGTATATCATATTTTTGTAAACATTTTTAGGCAATACCGGAGCTGCGCGAAGCACTAAGCAAATACTCGGGATCTCTACCAGATGTGACAAGTGCTGTGGCCAGTGGAGATGGTGGCTCAAAAGCGGTTACAGTCGCTGTTCGTGATCTGTACCGCATGATGGATGACGAGAGGGCAAAAAGCCATGGCAGTGTTGTTCCGCTTGTTATGATCCAGGTTTTCAGTTTTTCCTGTGCTTTTTTAAATATGTATATTGGTATTCGTAGCTTACAGTGAACGGCGCCGCTTTTCAAAAATGGTTGTAGACCTGGTGGGAATCGAACTACTCCTCTTCACATCCGGGTGCAAAGTGTTTACCCATTACACCACCCGTTGTTGTGGCAGCACATCTACTGTGTATCTGCTTTTCAAAACAGAATATACATTCTTTTCCTGCTGCCCCCCGTGGGAAATATAAGCCCTTTTCTTTGTGACGATTTCTTCTTGGCCGGCTTTTCGTGAGTTTTCCGTGGCATGCCGTTTTTGAAAAAGCAACGTGTACTAGCATGTCTGTTTGTGCCGTCTTTCACTTCCG